TGCCCACGCAAGCAGCAAGACGGGCCGAGAGCTGATTGAAGCCTGGGCGTTGACAGTACCCACACGGGTGTTCAAAAAACTATCATTCTGTAACCTGTCATTCAATTGTATACGATCATTGCCTATAAATAAGAAGAAAATAAACGGTCCCGTTAAACGTCGATGTAGAGAGCTGAAACTTGATTGTTAAATAAAGTACGAGCTGTTGGTTTGAGATGCGGTTGTGCATGGTGTGGGAGCAGAGGAGGGGAGGGGGGGATTGACAGTTAGCGAAGCAAGCCAGTTCAGTTTACAGTCAAAACCCGTCAAGCGTGATTGGAAGTGCAAAGAGTAGAGCAGCCGTCGGTCATGTGGGGAGGAAAGGGGGCGTGAGAGGAAATGGGGTTACGTCTTTTATCGATTCTTACCATTAACTTGTGCGGTTAATAACGTAATCCAGCTGTTTGCAGAGTTGTTGTCTTCTTCTCCGTATGACAGCACCCTCTACAAGTGCAGAAGGCGTCCAGTCGTCGCCTGAAGCACGACCTTACATGCACTCCTTGGGTCCACTGTATGACCTGTGACCAGATACCTTGTGATTGAACTCTTGGGTATCTTATTTTCTGCCTTAAGCAGCCCCTTCGACACATGTGCCCTATGTTTGTCTTATTGATTGGCAATGTCCGCACTCAGTTGAAAAATAGGTCACGAAATCCTATACCGTCAGTAGATTCTCCAAATCGCGTTGCCTTTGCCTTGTTCAAAACTATTATTGTTATGATATGGTTTTGCTTTAGGAAAGGCCACAGCGCGCAGCTTCGAAACTATTACTGCGGACTAATCCCAAGGTGTACTATCAAATGAGAGTGACACTTGAGGATTTTTCTAGAATCTAAATACTCCCCTCTTTACGGTACGGAGACGGGATAGGCTGCAGCGTCCATTAAGAATAGTATGAGCACTGGGTGTATCGTACATAGTCTCTAGGAAATAAGACTGACTAAAGATAAGTCAGAGCACGCGAGAAATCTACGTAAGCACTATTTTTGAGTGTGACTTTCGCAGAATACTCACATGGGATCCAGCATCCTACCGTGTATGATTTAGCTTGGGATTACGTCATTCAGCTTATTATAACAGTTCATTCAGTTCCGCCAGTCCTAGCGCCTGCTAAGTCTAGTAGTGTATCCCGAGGGCTATTCCCAATAGAGACCAAAAAGCTCGCTTTTGGACTAATGTCCATCGTCAGTCAACCTTACTCCGATAAGCGCGTTTAGAGCTGCATACAGAACGCAGGGATTCCGAACTGATATACTGCCTGCGATGATAATCACATTTATCCGGGTGCCGGTGAAACGGAAACTACCATATATCCAACCACAACTGCGTATTTATACTTGCACCTGCTCATTTATTAAATAAATGTGCTTAGGTACAAATATTCCTTGCTGGAATATGAGCAGCCATGGACGAGCAGTTAAACAGATTCCTCATAATTTCTATCATTTTTGTATAGCGGTTAATGTCCATTCATAATCAATCTCATCATGGGCGGGTAAAGATTGACATGAAACGCTAACAGCCTGAGAGTTGTCCCTCATAAAAAGTTCAGGTAGGGGTGCCTAGTAGGGTGCGCTAAGCGCACTATACGTCCACTTGCATCTACTCAGTGGCCCGATTTACACATTTTTTCAATTTACTTGCCGCGCACAGGTGGCCTCCAGCCACTAAGCCTTCCTGATGGCTGCTGCAGAACGATTTGCCTTGTAGAGTTGTCACCAATATTTCGTTTTTTGTCGCTTGCCAGTCGCAGCGCCAATTTTACATTTTTTGTCGTGCGCCAAAACCCATGAAAGTGAAGTAAAACACAATGACAGGCGTTGAAAGAATTTCACGGACATCGATCAACTATGATTAATAAGAAGTTGCATAACCACTGACAAGGGGAGCCATACTTCTTTGCTGGCAGAACAGATATAACGCGGAACTTCAATTCAAAGTCTAGTCACACGAATATGTTGAGTATTAAACTTAAACATTCGTGTTTCCTGTTGTAGCAGAGATAGCAACATTTACTGAAGTCTCCCCTCTCATCTAGGATCAGACTGTCACACAGCCTAATCAGCATCTAGGCCTTGGCCTCAGGATCAACTTCGAGGGTCACCTCGTCACTTAGCGGAGCAGATGGAATCGCTTTGCCAAAGCGATTTATTTCCTCCAGGTAGTTCTCCAGGAGTACAGGATTTACGACCGCCCAGTCCTCCAGCATATCCTAGGCAAAATGAAGAAGAAGTGAAACACCATAACCTGACACGTCATCGAACGCTCACGGTATCTGTTAACCGTAGTCAAGTAACGTAAAATCCAGAAAATGCGAACTGACATAATGCTTCCGTCGTCACTGGCTCTGGTGATACCTGTCAGCACGTAGGAATGGGGAATTTTGATGGCAGTACGGTGTGTGCTCTAACCCATTAAACATGCTGACGAAAACTGAGATGATCAATTGCGGACCAGCAAAATGCCGCACATATTATTTTAACGGCTAACGTCCATTCACAATAAATCTCATCGTAGGTAGGTAGATACCGATATGGGTAGCTAAAAGCCCGAAAGGGGCCTCTTTTAAAGAGGTCATATTCGAAGGAGGTTGCCAAAACACATGAAAGTGGAGATAAACACAATGACAGGAGTTGAAAGAATTTCACGGATAGTATATGACCTACCCCATAAAACATGATGACGAAGATTGCGATGATCAATTTCGGACAATTTAAATGTTGCACATTTTGTTTATCCGCCTAGCTTATTCAGAAAAAGTGCCCTTTTCGTAAGAAGAGTGTGTTAGTAAATAATGTTTTCAGTAAAAATGTTTAAAACTTTTAGCGGACCTCTATGCTACCTTGTATTCCGACAGTTTCCTATTTACCATTAAGTGCACTCATTCACACATGTTTTTCTTTTAGAAGAGAGTTAGACTAAACTCGTGAGTTTAAATAAACGTAACTTGCCGCACTCGGCGATGAAGTTTCATGTTTGGGTGAGTCAAAAATATGGCCCAAACGACCATCTGCATTAGAACGAATTTTCAAGAATGCACTAATTTGGTAAATGCTTTTCATAACTATTTGATCTTTAAGGTTTTGATAAAACATAGAACAAAATCTACATTTGCTGGCAATCGATTGAAAACACTGAAAAGCGTGATGTATTGCCTACTATTTCAATTACAAACTTAAACTCAACCTAATCCAAAAATATAAATTAAAGCAAGTTGACGAAATGAAATTTCTCCTGCTATGCACAATATGGTATGTTTACGAGTGCACCTGACAATTCTATTTAAATTTATTAGTCTTTGGCCGGCTTTTTAACAAGTAAACTTTTGGATTTTTTTATTATTATGACATCCCCATCGGCCCAATCAAAAGAAGACCTATTTGTTTTAGTCAACTGCGTCTCAGCAGTGGAAAAACCGGAGAGCTATCACAAAATCTCTTGTAACAGTGCTGGACTTCAGAGTGCTTATTAGTGGCCATCCTATAAAGTACACTTATTATTGAAGGGTATTTTACCGCAAACTCCACTAAGGAACTACCTTCAAAGACACTTCTACTTGTAGT